GTTTACGATTTGCACGCGCTGTGCCACACACATCTGTCATGTTTACTCGCAAAAAATCACTGAGTGAGGGGCTTGTGTACCAGTTATCAGTATATAATATATACCCTTTACCAAGGTATGGTTCTATTATTGTTCTAACCACATCACCAGAGATGCCCAATAACTTGGTATTTTGCAATGTATAACTTCCAGTGTACACAATAATATCCAATACAAGACCACTGTAGCAATCACAAAGCACAAACAACTTTATACCAAAGCATTTCCTCTTGCTTGGTATGTACTGTTTAAAAGAGAGAGTTTCTTTGAACAGAATCAAAGACTCATCAATAACAAGCTTCCTGAAGGGATAAAAATACATACTGAATTTCTCTTTCAGATACACAAACACATTCCTAATCTTATATAACCTGGCATTTCTGTCAGGCCTGGTTTTGTCTGAGAAGTGAAGCATACGTAATAGTAGCACAAATCATTCACTCGCATTATATCACTGAAACCTGGGGTTGCAATCAGGCGGTCTGTTGACCAGTATGATTTCACAGTGTGCTTATACACATGTGGCATAAGCATTATTGTGGCAAAGAAAAGATACATCTCAGCCACAGTTGTCTCCTTCCACTGGTGTAGACATGATTTTGGTGAAAGTACGTATTGTGTTTGCCATGGTGTAATCTAAGTATGTGTTGCTTTCCCTGACAATTTCCATCAGGGGTTCGTCAAAGAATAACTCAAAACATTCCAGTTCACTGGCATTGTTCCCCAGTGTACAAGATGGCCATATCCCACTTTGGCTTTCATCAAACTGGTGGGGATTTGGAACAAAACTGGCAGCTTCCTGCCAATCCCAGGTGCAGTCTGCTGGTGGGTACTGGACATTGACAGGTGGTTGTGGAGTTTGTGGTTGTGGAGGTTGTGGTTGTGGAGGCTGGTGTGATGGGTGGGTGGGGGAGGGTGGCCTTTGTTGTAGATCAGCTGAGGCAACGGCCTGGGTGGCAGCGTGGGTGGCAGCATGGTCCACTGCTGGTGCCTCACGGCTGGCACCACCACTACCACCACCATGCACAGTTTCCATCACAACTGCAACAGTATCATCTTCATTTTCACTATCTGTTCCTGTTGTACAGCCACGGGATGTGCTCCGAGATGTATTCCTTCCCCTTGGAACAGCATATGGCACACTACCAGAGCGCATATATCGTCGTATATACTGACGCTTCACTGGAGAATATTCCACTTCACTATTGCTACTGGAAGTGTTTTCAAGAGCTTGTAGTTCATATTCACTATCACTATCATCACCAATGCTCACATGTGAGTCCAGGATTTGGAAAAATAGGAGTTTCCTCTTTGGTTCTGGTACAACTGAACGTGAACAAGACGGCCCAGCAGCAGAGGTGGAAAGCTGAGGGTCGTCTGGGTTTTCCTCACTATTACCTGTATTATGGTCATTAGTTTTGGTCACAACTTCATCAAAACCTTGAAACTCATCTTCACTGGCACTTCCATCTGTATTAGAACTGTCACTGGGGATTAAAAGTGTCCCAATTTGCTGAGAAGTGAGGAGCTTCTTACTGCGAGGCATGGTGAACAAGGTCTACTAAAATGGCGTTCCCACAATGCGCCACTTGTTCCCAGATTTTTTTCTACCACACACACTCATTCTCTCACATCTAGGCCTACCACCCTTTTCCCGCGAGATTTGAAGGCGCTAGAATTTATGCGTACTAGTACGTCAATAACCCTGGCGTGTAAGCCATACTAGTACGTCGGAAACCCTGAAAGGGTTAATCCTGACCTGAATCACTTCCTTGACAGTTGCAACAAAATCCACAGACATAATACTAGACATTAAAAACCTTAAAGACATACCCCATGTCCAGTTTAATCTTCGTAAAAAACAATGTGCATAAAAGGATTCAAAATCTGGAACTCCCTGCTAGAAATCTCCAGAGCCTCTTTGTCAGCTTCTTCAATGCTACTGTAAAAAAGCACCTCCTTTTCCTAACAACAACTGGGATAAATGTGTTAATATGCTAAAAAATTCTCTCAATCACAAACATATGAAGGATTACATGTATATATTCTTATTCCTATTACCCCAAGCATATGAAAAACTATATATTCTTATTATCATTACCTGTAATCCTGATAAAAGTGTAATATGATAAATGTGCTAAAATATGTGTTAATATGCTAAGCAATTCTCTCAACCACAAATGTGAAAAACTATATACAGCAGGGCCCCGCTTTACGGCATTTTGCCTTATGGTGTTCCGCTAATACGGCGATTTCAAATTATGACCAAAATTTGCTATATGGCAAGTAGTCTTTCAAATACGGCATGCCCTACCCGGTTTGTTTACATTCTCCGTGAGCACATCTATTATGTCTGGAAACTTTCCAAAATTTCAAGTGTTTTAAAGTTATTGTGTAATTTACATGTGATCTGATAATTATGCTCATGTGTACCTGTACCTAAATATACTTACACACTGTGCTGGCATGTAGGAACACATTAAAATCACTTAGAGTCTCTCTACTCATGATGCCATAGTAATACTATGTAATAATAATTTCTCTTGGGCACATTAAATGTCTTATTTTATGTTAATAAAGACATTTTCATTAGTTCATCTATGATATTTTCTTCAAAATTATATAAGAAACACGTTACATAGCATATAAACATTATACACACACCCACAGATAAAAATTGACATAAATATGAGATTTGTTTACAAAGCAGCTCTGTAGGAGTGTAGGAAGAATTACGCTTTCTCTAGTCAAACACTGGGGGATAACTGTAGATAAATATTCCTTTCGTATGCCTTCACTCTATATATAGCAATTCATGACCCTTGTGGGTTTAGTGCTTCTTTTTAATTATGATTATAATAATAATAACTTGCAATGATAATTTGTAATAATAATAATAATCATTTGTAATAATAATTTGTAATAATAATAATTTGTCTGAGCATCATTCCTTCTAAAAATTACATGAGAATGGAAGTGTTGGTCTTTATTTATTCTACTGTACCACTGTGGAGACAACTTGTACACAATATAAGGTGTTTGTATGAATGTTTATGAACCATAACCAAATGCATCATCTGTTTGTTTACATAGTGGGTGGGGCGGCCAGGCTGGCTTCCCTACGCTACCCTACCTACCACACCACTTTCTACAAATAAATATTTTTCACCTTTCACCCTACATTACGACTACAAATATTTTAAGGTAAGTAATGAGTGTACTGTATATGCATTTTATCACTCTGTTTAAGCATCGTCGTATATTATGTGTGGGTGGGGGTGGCCAGGAGGGCTACCACACCTAACTTCTTACAGTAAATGATACTCACCTTTTGCCCTACATTAAGACTATGAATATTTTGAGGTAAATAATGAGTGTACTGTGTGTGTATTTTACTTTTTGTTGTTTTTTAATGCCTAAGTTCTATTGCTAACTTAATATATGTTAGTGTAAACTTGTTATCTGGCATTTATATGCATTTATAAGTGGAAAAAATGGCGTTCTGCTTTCCGGCAGTAGCCTGGAACCTAACCTGCCACATAAGTGGGGCCCTACTGTATTCTTATTCTCATTACCTGTAATCATAATCCAACCTTAAGTAATAACTGATTGCTTGTGTGTTCTTGTAATTCCTAAATTTATGGTTTATGAACTCTTAATGTCCTTATCTATAAGCATACCTTACCTTACGTTTGATATACATTTGAAGAGTTTTGAGAGTTTATCTACTCTCTGAGCCCTTGCCATGGGCCAGGCTCGCCTGGTGCTTGCCCGGTCAACCAGGCTGTTGCTGCTGGAGGCCCACTGCCCCACATATCCATCACAGCCTGGTTGATCTGGCACGTGGTGAAGATACTTGTCCAGTTTCCTATTGAAGGCTTCTACACTGGTTCCAGCCGTGTTTCTGATATCTTCTGGTAAGATGTTGAATAGTCTGGGAACCCGGATGTTGATACAATGTTCCCTTATTGTCCCCACTGCACCCCTGCTCCTCACTGGGTTTATTTTACCCTCCTTCCCATATCTCTCACTCCAGTATGTTGTTATAGCAGTGTACAGATTTGGGACCAAGCTCTCAAGTACCTTCCAGGTACAGTATATATTATCATGTACCTCTCTCTCCTCTGCTCCAATGAATACATGTTCAAGACTTGCAGGTGTTCCCAGTAGTTTAGGTGCTTTACAGGCTCAATGTGAGCCGTAAATTATCTCTGTATTTGTTCCAGCTCAAATATTTCTCCTGCCTTGAATGGGGCCGTCAGCAATGAGCAATATTCTAAGTGAGGGAGCACTAGCGATTTGAAGAGTGTCACCATCGGCATTATTTCCCTTGTTTTGAAAGTTCTCAATACCCACCCCATCATCTTCCTGGCTGTCGTGTTCTTGTCTTGTTATGGTCTTTAAAAGAAAGGTCCGTTGACATAATTATTCCTAGGTCTTTTACGTCTTCCTTACGTTCTATTTGGTGACCCTCTTTGAGTTTTGTATACAGTGCCCCTTTTGAGTTCTTCATTCTTTCCATATCTAAGCAGCTGGAACTTATCACCATTTAATTAGTTATTGCCATTTTAGTCTTAAGTTTGCCCAAAATTCTCTGCATAAGTATGGGCTTTCTATATGCACAACTAAATGTCACCCATCTGTACAAACAATGTACAGTAGACCCCCGCTTTACGATCAGCTCCCAATGCGACCAATTATGTAAGTGTATTTATGTAAGTGCATTTGTACGTGTATGTTTGGGGGTCTGAAATGGACTAATCTAATTCACAATATTCCTTATGGAAACAAATTCGTTCAGTAATGGCACCTAAACATACTTCTGGAATGAAATAATATCGTAAGCCGGGGGTCCACTGTATTATGCTGAAATAAATTATAATTTTTATAACATATCTTCTTAATAATTACAAAAATACTTAATATATAACCAATAAAAAACCTACAGGGTTCAAACTGACCTTTTATTCTAGATAGAGCAGCACTGTCATTAGTTTGCTCTGAGGTACATGCCTCACATACCAGTAGCTGTACTTCAGGCTCAAAGTCTCCAATAATTTCTATTAATTCATTTAACCTCTCCAAAACATCTCTCTGCATGAAACAAAGAAGAAACAGTAAAAGGAAAGTCAATTTAAAACCAGAATATATGATATTGTAGTCTACTCTGTATGCTACTGGAAATTATGATAATATTGTAAGAATTACAAATGTACATAAACTATTTATAACTCTCTTAATCAAGACTATTATATTAAAACAGATGACAATCAGGAATTATGTAAAAAAAAAAACACAGCCTTAAATTTTTCAGTTCTTGCATTTCATTTTATTTTTAACACAACTGTCTTCTCCCATTGAGGCAGGGTGACATAGAAAAAGAAGGGTTACTAGCCTATTACTCCCAGCATTTTAGTTGCCTATTACAACACCCATGGTTTGTGGAAGAAGAATTCTTCTCCATTCACCCATGGAGATCTTGCACTTCATATGTATGACAGGAATAAGCTGCTACTGTATCACAAAAGTATCCTCCATCAACACATAACTCAATAATTCAATTTGAAATTACAGCTTCCATAAAAAAAAAAAAGATATTTGATGCTATTGACAATCAGATGCTTCTCTGAACATTTGTTTGTACAATGACTGCTTAACAATGTTCCACCATGAGACAGAATATACATATTGGAATTCTGCAATAAGCTGTCTAACACTTTGCACAAGTCGTAATTTTGATTTGGATGCAAACATTTTTTGAAACATCCCACACTATGTAGTGATGTCTGAGAGACCAAGAGAAAGAGTTTCAGTCCAGAATGTGTTAGTATCTGCCACTCAAGATATGAAGCTCTGGCTGTGTTTGCATCAGCTGAGCACAGACATATTTTATTCACTAACTTTCAATGATAAATATAGTAAGACTATTTACATGTAGTTTATAGAATGTCTGGTGGCTATAATGTACACAAGTACAGTGGTACCTCGAGTTTCGAACAGCTCCCAACTTGAACAATTATGCAAGTGTATTTTTGTAAGTGCTTTTGTAAGTGTAATTTTGGGGATCTGAAACGGACTAATCTAATTTACATTATTCCTTATGGGAACAAATTCGTTTGGTATCGGCACTCGAACAGCCTTCTGGAACGAATTAAGTTCATAATTCGTACTGTACTGCTACATTCATGATGGAGTGCTAAACCCATAAAGATCATACAACACCTGGTTCAATCCCAAGATTATAATGAATAAAAATTGAGAAATATAATACACATTTATACATGTAGTGATATGAATAGAATATGTAAAATATGCATATACTAGCTAACTAACTCACTTACTCTCATTGGGTCTATTATTAATACAGTGGACCCGCACCTAACGAACGCATCGCATAACGTTAAATCCGCCTAGCGATACATTTTAACGCAAAAATTTTGCCTCGGCTAGCGCTAAAAAACTTGCCTAACGCGATTTGTTCCGTTCGAGACGCGTCCACGTGTGGCCTGAGTGCGCCTCACTTGTCCCGTGGGTGCCAGTTTTTACAAGCCAGCCACCGGGGTCGCATCCAAACATACAACTGGAACATTTCATGTTATTACAGTGTTTTTAGTGATTGCACCTGAAAAATAAGTTACCATTTATTTATTTATTTATTTATTTATTTAGTAATTTGAGCATACATACAGAGGTACAAAAAAATACAGGTAAGAGCAGCATGCCAAAGCCACTTATATGCATAGCATTATGGGCTGGCTTAAAATTAACTTAAGATTAACTAAGCAATGATGAAATCAGTGATAAAACATTATTGTAAACAGATAACTATAAAGCACAAATGAGTATTACAAAGACAGGTCATACGGTTGCATGCATTGCTGTACATTCAGTCGAATGGAGTATTCTGTTAGGTAGTGTATTTAAAAAATAATAAAGTTAGATTGGGTTTTAGGTTTAACATTTATGTGATATAATTGTGAGAAACATTTAAGATATACAATTTATAAGGTTCAGTTATTCAGTATTTATTTGGTTTTGGGTGAGTAAGTGATCTTTGAGAAGAGACTTGAATTTATAAACAGGTGTGTTTCTTTTATATTTACAGGTAATGAATTCCAGATTTTAGGGCCTTTTATGTGCATTGAGTTTTTGCATAGTGTGAGATGGACACGAGGAACATCAAAGAGTGATCTGTGCCTTGTGTTATGGTCATGTGTTCTGTTGAGGTTGGCAAGGAGATGTTTGAGGGGAGGGTTAATATCAGAGTTAAGTGTTCTATGTATGTGATAGGTGCAATAATAAGTATGGATGTTTTGTATGGTGAGTAGGTTGAGTGTTTTGAATGAGCCCCAAGAAAGCTTCTAGTGCCAACCCTGTGATAAAAAGGGTGAGAATTAGTATGGAAATTAAGAAAGATTTTTAAGGGTTTGGGGCTAACCCTGAGATGCCTATGCCAGTTGTGGAATCCATTGTGCCTACTTCAAAGATTAAGGAAATGTGTGCAAAGTGGGTTGAACTGCAAACCTTTATGGATGAAAATCACCCTTACACAGCTATTGCAAGCCGTGCTAGTGACTATTACAATGACAATGTTATGGCCCATTTTAGACAAATCTTAAAGGAACGGGAGGTACAGAGCTCTATGGACAGATATGTTGTGCGACAGAGGTCCAGTGACTCTCCCCGGAAAAGGACTTGACACCTCAAGTCCTAATGGAAGGGGATTCCCCTTCTAAACATTAACACCATGCACACTCTCCCCTCCTCCCATCCCATCAATCATCACCAGATCTTCAATAAAGGTAAGTGTCATGTAATTGTACATGTCTTCTTCAGTTTGTGTTTATTAAAATTAATATTTCATGTGGTAAAATTTTTCTTTTTTCATACTTTGGGGTGTCAGGAACGGATTAATTTGATTTCCATTATTTCTTTTGGGGAAAATTAATTTGGCTAATGATAATTTCGCCTAACGTTGAGCTCTCAGGAACGGATTAATATCATTAGGCGAGGGTCCACTGTACGACAATGTTCACTAGAAAGACCTGCCAAGCCCTATTTGTAACTCCAGGCTATACATTTCTATTACATTTCAAAAGTCACAACATAAAAAATGCAAGAAAAGGATATTGTAACACGTGGATAACCAATATAATGTTTGGTGCATATACATAAAGATTAGTGAAATAAATTGCAGACTTATTCATATTAGATGGAAAATAATCCATGTTCTCTTAAAGTCAATATTAAAGTCTTACAAAATTATGTATAAAAAAAAATATTAATATTCAGTAGGTTATTTAGATTACATAAGGTTAGGTTAGGACTGGCTAGGTTAGATTATCATCTATTAGCAAAATTTAACCATTATAACATGTTGAACATGGTATAAAATACTAACAAGTTAAAGATTAAGACACATGTGCAACAGCTGGGTATCTATATTGATGAAATGTTTCATCTACACAGTAGGCTTCTACAGTCAAATACAGAGGGAACAGTAGTAGTGAAATATGATGATGTAATCAGTCCATCAACCTTGGAGAAAAAAGTATAGGTAATCAGTCCCTCAGCCTGGAGAAGAGTTCAGCTCCATGGTCTGAAATGATATCGTTCTACACCATTATAGCATACCATAGTGCCCTATAATGCAATGATACATTAAGGTGATACAAACTTTTGAAACATGAACAGACAAAAACTCACTGAGAGGACTATAAAATACATGGTCAAATAATCACATTTTCAACATCATACATCTGGTAGTCATCAGCCACAGTGAATGAAATATCAGTGTTGTTGAGGAGGATGAGCAAAAACAATGACACCAATCTATTTACTACTTTTAATTTTTTATGTGTGATTGTTTTTGTAGATGCCAATACAGAAAAAGAAGAACCTGATTCATTATAAAAGCTGTATCAATAAATTACTGTTTTTTACCCAAAATTAAAAATCTGAAATTTTTCCAAACTTGTAGGCTTATTTAATCTAAATCTGGGTTTCCTTATACAGTAAAACCTTGATTTAATGGGCCTCGCATTAACAAACAAAATCAGGACAAGAGAGAGTCATTTGTTCCAAACTGTCTATTATTATTATTATTATTATTATTATTATTATTATTATTATTATTATTATTATTATTAAGAGTAATTTCTTGACAAATTCAGTTACAGTGAACCCTTGCCATTCGGCGGCCGCGACTTTCGTGAAATCCGACATTTGGCAAGGTTTTCCACCAAAATATAGCCTAGCGTTCATGACTGGCCTCGTGATTTGGCGGCCGTCTGGTACGCTTCTGCCATCAGCGAGCACAGAAAGCCAGTCTCCCACAACATTCACATTCAGTGTGCCATTGTTTACCAGCGAGTAACCATCACCCCACGGGTTCATGCAATACATTTCATAATAATCCATTGTTTTTTGTGCTGGCAACTGCTTAATAAGTCACCATGGGCCTGAAGAAAGCTAGTGCCAGCCCTATGGTAAAGAAAGTGAGGAACACGATCGAATTCAAGAAAGAAATCATTGAAAAATTTGAGAGTGGAGAGCATGTTACAGAGCTTGCCAGGTTGTATGGCAAACCCCATTCAACCATCACTTCGATTGTGGCGAAGGGAAAGGAAATAAAGTGTGCTGTTGTTGCAAAAGGGGTAGATATGCTGACAAAAAAAAGATCACAAACCCTCAAAGAAGTGGAGAGGTTATTGTTAGTGTGGATTACCCAAAAACAGTTAGCAGGAGATAGTATTATGCAGTCGATAATATGTGAAAAGGCAAGGCAGTTGCATGATGACCTCATAAAAAAATGCCTACAACGACTGGTGATGTTTGTGATTTTAAGGCCAGCAAAGGCTGGTTTGAGAGATTTAAGAAGCTTAGTGGCATATACAGTGTGGTAAGGTATGGTGAGACTGCCAGTTCAGACAAAAGGATGGCTGAGAAGTTTCTACAGGAGTTTAAAGGGTACGCAGACACTGAAAAATTCAAACTTGAACAAGTGTTCAATTGTGACGAAACAGGCCTGTTTTGGAAGAAAATGCCCAAGAGGACCTACATCACACAGGAGGAAACGGCACTCCCAGGACACA